CAGGTCCTACTATTACATCAAAGGATGAAATCACTACTTGCGTCTAATGATAATAAGTTTGTACCTTTGATCAATATGTAATGATCAAATCTTGCATGAGAAATGAAAATGATTAACATAAAAGACAATTAGTCTATCTCCTTTTCAAGCTTCAACCATCTTGGACTTGAGGTGAATGTGGTGAAGGGGAGTGAGATAAGGTGGATGTGGAGGTGGTGGTTGTGGATTTTGGTGGTGGGGCGGGTAAGATATGGTGTGGTGAATAGTGTCTTGTGACTAGTTAATTGGATAGTTTGTGACATATTAAATGCAAACTAAATAAGTGATTCTGATCAGTTAATTCGAAAATTTGTGATTATAAATTATTTGTGACATGAATGTGTAAAATATGTGATTGTGAACCACAAATTATTTCATGCAAATGTGACCTATTATGATTTGTGACTAGTATACGACTGTGTCATAAATTGTGTTATTGTGATCGCAACATGTTTAATTATATTATATGTCGCAATACTTTATCAGATACCACAAAATATAATCATATGAATTTTTTTTAAAAATTCACAAATTTGTTACTTTTGAGAATACATTTTGAGATCTTTTTAGTTATATATTTTTTTTCTTAAGAAATGGGAGCCAAATAGGGCTACATTTGGTCTTTTGTTGAAACTTGGGCCTTTGTTGGATATCTCCCCCTTAGTTTCTTGGGCTTTTAAGTCTTGTCTCAATTAGGGGTGACAATTTGTATCGTCGGTTTGGACGGTCCGTGACGCGACTTGGAAAAAGCCTGAGCCAGCTTGCTCCGGCTCGGTAGAATCGAGCTAAGGCGGGCATTGACTCGAGCCCAAGCCAGCGAGCCATACGGGCCAGCCCATGACGAGTTAAGCCACAAAAAAACATTGAATATATATATACACACACGCACGCACGCACACACGCACGCAACCTGCCTTAACAAGGCAGCTGTACAGCTACCTGCAACAACGTAGGTTGTAGCTACAATTGCCTTGTAGCTGTCAATGTTGTGTTTATGCTCTCACGTCGATTTTCAAATTTTAAATTGAATTTCAAATTTGGTTGACATGGATGTGTGTGTGTGTGTGTATTTTTTTTTTATGAGCTAAAATTTTGAGTTTCATATTAATTTACTTCAATTAATTTAACTTGCAGTGTTTTGGTTTCAACTTCAATCTCCAATTTCTTTAATTTAATATTCTGTTTCTTTTATTGTAATATTCAGTATATTTTGCCTTTAGTAGATCACATTTAGTCTTCTATCATGGTAGAAGTGTTACGAGAAGCAATACCTTATAGTAACAAAAATTGCACATGATCTACTAACATGTCTTGAGTCAATGTGCGGAATTACGTATTTAATAACAAGTTGACAGTATAATGATCAAAGAATTGCAGCAGGTCCAATGATAGATATTGTAAGTTTTTAAATTGACTAGTTTAAAAGAAATGCACAATTTTTAAATTTATTTGTTTAAAAAAAAATTGTATACAAAATATTTTATTCATGTACAATTTTAACTCTGTCTACATTGATTGCAACAGGTCCCAAACCCGAAAAAAAGAGTAGTGTTGTAACTGTTATTTAATTTATAATTCAAATAAATATACAAATTTTTAAATTCATTAAAAAAATTTAAATTTGTTACGAATTTTAAAAAAATAGCGAGCAGGCTCGGCTCGGCTCGGCTCGCTAGTCGAGCTTAGATTTTTTGGCTGAGCAAAAGTTCTACTCAGCTCAGAGAAAAAAAATCAAAACTATTTTTACTTGAGCCGAGCCCGAGCTTCAAGTTTCAACTCGACTCGTCGACATTCTTAGCCTCAATGCCCTTTGCATCGTACTTTTTCTTGTTTTCCTCTATAAAAATGTACTTCATCTTCTACATTAAAAAAAAAATAAAAAATTCAAGTGCTCATATACAATAAAGTTAGGTATCAGTCATAAATTAATGTGGAATCAATATTTTTTATGTTAATTTAATTGAGATTTTCGTTCACATTCCCATTTTGAGATAAAAATATCGTATTCTTGTATCAACAGTTTGAACGTCGTTGTAATTTAAATATAATCCCATGTAATGAAGTTGAATTGAAAATTAACCTTCATCATGCTTGTTTCCACTATGTTGGAATCATACTGTTCAAAATTCATGGATGAATGAAAAAAGAAAATGACGTCATGAAAATGGCCTATGCGACCGCATAAGCCTTTTATGCGTGCGGTCGCAAAGGCGGGATCATGAAATTAAGAGGCATCCAATGTTATAACTATGCGACCACATAATTATAGCTTATGCGGTCGTATAGTTATAAACTGTGATCGTTTTCGAATTTTCTGGTGATTGATTGACGAAACATTGCGCCTCTTGATTTGAGCTTGGAACCACTTAGTGTGGGATGATTGAAACCTATAAATATTTGTTGTGCACATCAAATTTTACATTGAGTATTCATCAAATTTTTGAGAGAAAAATTTGTTTATTCACATAATCGTTTTTTTACCTGTTCATTTGAAGACTCACTTTACTTTTGGAGATTTTCATAAGGCGAGTTTAATCCTACAAATTATTTGCCATTAAATCATTAAAAACATTGTAGAAGAGACAAATATCATTTGAGAACAACGATATAATCTTCGTATTCAAATCTTTATTGGATTTATATTCATCATTTTCTTCTCCTTTGTTTTTTTATCCATTGCTGTATTTATTTTTCCATAACACACTATGCCTTCAAGTTTTGTTCTAAACATTGTATTCTTATGCTTGAACGTAGTAATTTAAAGATGGTCCCTTTTGATGATGTTGAAGTGAAAATTAACCTACACCGTGCTTTCTTCCATTACGTCTCCATGTTTTATTCTAAATATTGTATTTTTGTAGCAATAGTTGTTGAACGTCATTTTAATTTAAAGATGGTCCCTTGTAATGAAGTTGAAGTGACAATTAACCTAGACCATGCTTCCTTTCACTATGTCTCCATGCTTTGTTCTATTTCTTATATATAGACAAATTGTATAAAATCCAAACATAATACTTTAACCTTTGTTCACTACAACAAAAATGACTTTTTGCAACATGAAAAATGCAACATTCCTTCCTTGACTGTCGCTAAAGAGGTCTATAGCAACATTCTCATAAATGATAATCAATCAAAATTTCATCATGAAAAAAAGAAAAGTTTATGCAATGTAAGTTCAAAAATCTTCTTCTATCACTACAACAAAAATGACTTTTTGCAACATGAAAAATGCAACATTCATTGCTTGAATGTTGCTAAAGAGGTCTATAGCAACATTATCATAAATGAATGTTGCAATTGGTTAGCAGAAAATGTCATTTACAACAGTTTTTAAATGCATGTTTCTATTGCCCTTTTTTACAACGTTCAGGGACCGTGGCAAATGACTGAGACTCTACAACAACATCGCAGTCCACAACAAACGAGCGAACGTTGCAAAAGGTAATAGGCAACATTTTTTGCCCGTTGCGAAAGGTAATTTTTGGTGTAGTGGTTATGGTTGTGCTAATAAATAAATTATAAGCTTTAAAAGTTTAAAGACTTTTATTTTCTTTAATAATTTAAATTTTTAAATAAGATGATACAACTCTATAGTTGTAAAATTCTCAACGAGGTGCGATTCTAACGTATCCACCTATAAATAACCCATAGGTTGCTATTTTGCTTTCTAAACCCTTCTTGTAAAACCCATGCTATGACTTTTGTCCTTAATTTTTAAGTATAGTGTCAATTTTCTCATTTCTATCCTTCTCTCCCGCCGGCTATAGAATTAGATGCATATTTTTAAAATTGCTCATTATTGACTTTTATATTTGACAACATTTGTTTAGAAACTTGCTAAATTTTTTACTCCCTACTTTCATTTGAAATATATAAAATTTTATTTTTATTTTTTATCTACTTACAAATCAAGTTGGTGTAAAAACAATTTTTATTTTTATCATTTAACAAGTTGGTAAGTTCAACAAAAGACGTTGATTTATATATTTGTGATATCGATGCCATAAAAGGTCAATCGGTTGAAGTTGCCGTCGCCACATGTTGTTTGATTCCCTCCTTGAGATTCCAAATTCCCTTTTAGTATGCATTGACACGATTAAGTCTCCCTCTATAACTTGCACGAGTAAAGTGACTAATTTCACGGGACCCTGAATTTTATAGTCGGGCACTCACCTCACTGGTCTTGAAGGGATTCGAAAGTTACTCATTAATTTCATTAAAGTTGGACGCAATTTGGTCTCTACAACTTGTACAAGTGCCAAATGAGAATCTAGCCAATTAGAGTGACACTAACACCAGCACCTTAAATGAGTAATATTATTTAGTACTATTAGTATCAAAATACTAATCTATCTATCATTTAATGTCACATAGACTGAGTTTTCAACTCCACTAAGAATGAATAGCATTTTTCTATAACTTAGTGTCACATAGACAGATGTTGTAACACCAATGATATTAAATAATATTATTTCACTATAAAATTGGTGAAATAATGCCACTTGTCATCTCTCTCTAGCACATGCACTTACTCTAGTTTCTAAGCATCTTTTAGGCGTTAATTAATGAAATGGAGGCTTCGAAATCTCAATATTCTGGCTGGCTCTATGTACTCTGTCCGATCACGGCGGGAATGATTTAGAAATTGTCCTAAAGTCAACCATATCAATTTAACTTAATCCTTGGTCAATTTGTAAAACTGGCTGATCGAAGGTCATCGTCAAGATCTCTTTATTCTGATAAATTTTGGATTAAAAAATTTAGAAACTCCAAAATTCTGATTTTTATTTTTGGCACCGCCGACCAGTAAACCTGTATGTGATGATGGCTGCATATGCCTTTCCTCCTATATATAGCTGATTGCTCCGGGCGGCTACAAAACTTTTTTCTCTCCATCTCTTAAACTCTCTCATATTTTCACACACATAAACAGACATTAAATTTGATCCTTTCAAGTTCAAATGATGGAACACTCATTATTTCAATCCCCCAAAAAATCCAAGAATATTTTGCCAAAAAACACATTAAATTCAGTTAAGGTTTCCTTGTACCGCTGTCTATATCTCTCAATTATTCTTCTCTTCCAGATTCTCATCCTAAACTTTGTTCTTGGTACTCCATCAAAATCTATATCCATTCATAATCAGATTCTACAGCAAAAACCCAAGCCATTACCTTTGACTTTGCCATCTCTTCAAAACAAAGAATGCCAGTCAGGAATGGTATTTGTATATGATCTTCCAGTTATGTTTAACAAAGAACTAATAGACAATTGCCAGGATTTAGACCCGTGGCATTCGCGTTGCAATGCAGTTTCCAATGATGGACTTGGCCCGATTACATCAGGGATCTCTGCCGGCATGCCAGAGAATCTAGCTCCGGCGTGGTACTGGACAGACATGTTTGCTGGCGAGATCATTTATCATGCAAGAATGTTGAAGCACAAGTGTAGAACTACAGAGCCCGACTTGGCTACAGCCTTCTATATACCATTTTATGCTGGACTTGCAGTTGCAAAATATTTGTTCAGAAATTATACTGCAAAAGAACGGGATTGGCACGGTAAGATGTTACTCGAGTGGCTCCAGGATCAACCCTATTGGAAAAGATCCAACGGTTCAGATCACTTCATCATGCTTGGTAGGATGACATGGGATTTTCGACGGTCAAAGAATGAAGATTGGGGGTCCAGTTTCATTAACATGTCTGCGATGAAACAAATCTTACGGCTCTGCGTTGAAAGAAATCCCTGGGATCATCTTGAGATCAGTGTTCCTTACCCCACTGGATTCCACCCAAAGTCGAAATCAGACCTCGATTTATGGCTGAATTTTGTACAAACTCGAAACAGGACGAATTTATTCACATTTGTTGGTGGGAAACGCAAAGTGAAGAGTGATTTCAGAAGTCTGTTATCTAGTCACTGTTACAATGAGTCCGACTCGTGTCGGGTCGTGGATTGTTCGGGAACTCGGTGCTATGACGGGACATGGGAGGTTCTTGAAGCTTTTTTGGACTCCGATTTCTGTCTGCAGCCTAGGGGCGATGCACATACAAGAAAATCCACGTTTGATTGCATGCTGGCTGGTTCGATCCCGGTATTTTTCTGGAAAAGAAGCATATACGATCAATATCAGTGGTTCTTGACGGCACAACCGGAAAACTTCTCGGTGTTTATAGACCGAAAAGATGTGAGAAATGGAGCGTCTATAAAGAAAGTGCTGGAAGGGTATAGTAGGGAACAAGTAAGAAGAATGAGAGAGAAGGTGATTGAATTTATACCAAGATTTGTGTATAATTATATAGGCAGTGATGATACACCAGATGCTTTTGATCTTGCTATTGATGGAGTATTGAAGAGGTTAAAGGAGCAAAAAGAACCCAACAATGCACAATTAAAAGAGGAATGAAATGAAGGGATCCCATTCTTGCTTGGATGTGGTAAAAGGTGGGTATGTATATACTTTTTTCTCATGTTTCAACTCGTAACAAATATGTATCAACTCGTAACATTGTTAAGTTTATTTTTTCATTTATGGAGAAAGAAGAATAAAGAAATTTAAAGGTATGTTTTTCCATATTGTAAGTTAAATCGGAAAAAGAGCAATATTTGTCTGGGCTTGTTTGGTTGTTCTGAAAATTAATTTGCATTCAGAGGTAGAATTATTTAAAACAATTGCAAATATTGAAAAGTGATGAAATTGGTATGAGTCGTGTTGGATCAAATGCCAAATAAAATTGGACCCATATTTCATCTTTTTATTGGGCCTTAGGTCTGCGGTTAGATAGGAGGAAGAGGAAATTACACAGAAATAGTGTTTTCAAGCATCAATTTCAAATTTCAGATTTTATACTTTTTATTTCAAATATATATTAGTATATCTATTTCATTTACCCAAACCCTAATTATTTCATCTTTCCCATTCTCTCTCTCCCTCTCTCTCCCCGTTGCCCCCATTTTCTCTCCTCCCATCTTTATCACCGCCGGCTCCACCCTCAATCCATTTCCTCGGCCAGAAGGAGCCCGAATCGACACGAGTTTATGGCAGTATTTGCGAAGAAAACCTACTCACTCACCCATCTCTACCGACGCATCCCTCTCCTTCCTCGAAGAGGCACTGCAACCACTCGCAGATATCTCGTCATTCGTCGGCGACGCGAGGGCCACTGCTCAAAACTAGTGCAGAAGGTGCTACACAGCGGCCTCGTTACGAGTAGCTTGCACTGGCGTTGTGCCGCCATAGTTTATGATTAATATCAACCACGATGGTCTGTAACTTCTTGTTTGTGGTTTATTTTGATTGTTAGCATAAATGATGGCATCGTGGTTTTGATATGATTTTTGGGGGTGATTTTCGGACGTGAATGATGGCGATCAAGCCAGATTTGGGGGTGCCTAGGTTTCTCAATTAGTTGATCTTGAGTTGTGGCAGTGCTGGTGGCTGTGGCGGTGATGACGATGGTTGTGGCGATGGCGTTGGTGGTACGTTTCTATTGTTGGTGGTGGAGGTAGTTGGTGGTAGTGGTGGTGCGGCGGTTGCGGGTGGTTGGTGGTGGAGATGGTTGTGGTTTTTTTTTTTTTT